TGTAACTTTTCGAGGGCTATCTCGGGGTACCAATAGTAACTTTTCGACGGCTATCTCAGGTGTAGTACGTGCAACTTTTTGAGACCTATCAGAGAGTATGTCTTCTAACTACTTAAGACTGTTTCGTTGCGGACTCTATAATTTTTAAGGTCGATGTTTGAGTGCTATCTCTGCCTTCCCATGAGCCATCTAAACATACTTCATGCAAGGGCTTATTTGGGTTAGCAGACTGTAAAAAAAAATAGGTGTTCTACCGAACTTTGAAGGTTTCACACTGTTTTACGAAACGATTTTAAGTTTCGTAGCATGAAAATTCTTTCGTAATTTTCATACAGAACCTTTCTGAGTTCCGAAAATTGAAAAGAGTTTTGAAGTTTTACTACGAAACCCTCTAAAAGTTCCGTGCATCGTGTACTGAACTTTCGGTAGTTTCGTATCTTTGGTACAAAACCACTGACAGTTTCATAGAGCATCTTGAAGTTTCGTATAAGTTCTACGAAGCCTTTCAGAGTTTCGTAAGTGCTCTAATAGTTCCGGATACATTATACGAAACTAGCTATGGTTTCGTAAAAGATATACTGAACCATTACATCATTTACGAAATTATGAACAGTTTCGTCCAATATATACTGAACCATTACATCATTTACGAAATTATGAACAGTTTCGTCCAATGTATACTGAACCTTTTGATGTTTTACGAAACCACTGACAGTTCATGGAACACATCTAAAGATGAACTTCATAGATTACTTGCTATGGCTAATTCACAATTTCCACAACCTATATGGAATATAACTCATATTGGATTAAGGATTCATTTTCGTGATATCATGATAACTAACAATAATGGACTTCTTCAAACAGGTGTTTATCATGAACTAATGTTCGACGATAACGAATTACTATCATCATTTCCTGATATTATTCAACCTCAACTTATACAACATGCATGGAGATGGCTATGTGCAGCTTTTTTAAAAGCCATCCGATACTGTTCCGATCGCGATACTTTCCACGAAGAAATGGATGAAATCAAGTGTCAACTTAGTCGATATGAACTGCCTGATATTATCTTTCATGGAGCCTATCAAGAAATTATCGAAGATTTTGGTGCATCAACTGTCTACCCACCGTTTACTAGATCTAATTATGATATCATACGTGAACATATTTTCAATTATGATAGATTTCGAAAAGCAAAGAAAAAACGAAGAAACATCGAACAGAACCAGGAAAAAGAAATACTATTCCAACTTCCGAATATACCACACTTGGAAGGAAGTACCATAGGAACAATCGAACAACAATTCAATACAAACTTCTATCAATATTTAAAAAACTACCCAACAATGCAACACATTTCAATGAAAATCAAGCAAACTCAATCGTTCTTCTTCGAAACTATTGATTTTCTAGTGAAGAAACGACCAAATATAAGTTATTTGACTTTGCCGGAACACGATAAACCACCCACAAAGTATGAATTCAAATGTAATCAATATGTTACTCTATATATTCTTTTCTATTGAATAGGCCATCTATCGACAACAACTCACTATAAGAACTAATCAGAAACGTGCTCAAAGCACAATGACATTTCTAATTATCTCCTCGAACTTTGTTATTTTCATATATTTAATAAAATCACATTCTTACAAAAAAAAAAAACTTGAAAACATAACCTCTATCCATTCATCTCGTTTCAGATAAAAACACAAAAAAAACCAAAACCAAAACTAAATTATAATACCACACCAATAAATATCAATTAAAACATAATTTACCAAACAATACACAATCGAATTTCAACTAACAACAATTTCGTTCCAAATTCTATATCTCACCAACAACACATATAACTCATCCAACTACTTCCAAAAAAGCATGCACAAAAGTAACAACAACCTCAATAAACACACGCCTAAAAGACTTTAAACCGATGACACCACCGCAAGTCACACAATCCAACCATTATCAAACAAGTCTTCACAGACAACTACGGTAAAGCCAACGCAACTTGATAAGATTTGAGTCAGTAATATTCAAAATACCTTCGGTATCGTGGTAACTCTATACACACTCACTTTATTGTAAGTGAATCTGCTAATAAAGATTTAGTAGATTTTTCAGGTATTATGTATTGATTTTGAACTTTATGTTTAAGATCTCTTATACTGGTACTGAGGCCACTTGATAAGATTTGAGTCAGTAATATTCGAAATACCTTTGGTATCGTGGTAACTCTATACACACCTACACCCACCCACACCCACACCCTTGAGCCTACCACCGATGGTTTTTTTACCTCTGGAACTATTTTTAGTCAGTTTTTATCACTATGTATTATAACTGTTGTTACTAGATTTTCTAGTAAAAACCGCTGAGATTGGGAATCATGCTTGAGCTCATAAGTTACTCTAGACACTGAACAATCAGATCATTCGTGTGAATAAGAAGCATGATGAGAATAAAAGAGAGAATTGTTTATTTGAGCATAATGCGACTATTTTTGTGCATATCTGAGATATTACCAATGAATTGCTCAAAGTTAACATCTGGGCTTGAACAGCCGACCTGATACCCCATAGAAAACTTTCTTATATCTCGCTCGAAAAATTCTGATTTTTTTACCAGTTGTAGCCCGTATATAATGCTAGTATCTGGCACAATTTCAGATCTATATTACTTAAAATGAGAGAGTTGTTAAGCACGTACTTCATTCACATTACATACAGGGTGGTCCAAAAGTCACGCACCCAACAAAAAAATTGAATATCTCCATTAAGGCTTAAGCAAACAAGCTGATTTTTTTGTCAATGATAGAGGTATGTTCAAGGTTTATATCTATAAAGACAAGTCTAGAGAGATCGTTCGTTAAGTGTCACCAGTGATCTCAACAAAAAAATTTTACTTTTCCACAGATAGGAAAAAGCTGTTAGCGCAATCCCTTGCGGGATTAAAAATGTGAAACACGATGGACCTATTGTTACTAATAAAATGGAAATCCTTTTGTTGCATTTCCTTACGACACATTTGTAGCTGACCGTATATCTGATGCTTTATAATTACAATTTCTGTGTCACGGTCTGTGATGGGTACTCGGGTTCTCTGTCACGGTCTATGATGGGTACCCGGGTTCTCTGTCACGGTCTGCGATGGGTACCCAGGGTTCTCTGTCACGGTCTGTGATGGATACCCGGATTCTCTGTCACGGTCTGTGATGGGTACCCAGGGTTCTCTGTCACGGTCTGTGATGGGTACCCGGATTCTCTG